ATCCCTCGAAAATTGGTTTCTCTATTTTTTTATTTTTACATAACAGACATATTTAGTGGCTATAACTGCGTGTAGTAGTTCTGACTAAAACCTAAAATAATTGGGGATTACATTCCTTTAAAATAATGTTTAAATTCATATATTTTACCATTTCATAGTTGAACTTAATTCTGAATTTTCGTAAATAAAATCTTTCTATTTTTCTGTATTATTCAAAATTCCAGTGTTTTGTAGAATATTTGCATCTATTGAAATTCATTTTACTATCCACTGAGGATAAAACTTTGGCATACCTAAAAGAATAAATAAATTGTTTAGTAGCTGTATATTTCTAGTAAATTATTTTGATGAAAGTCTATATTTTACTTACCTTTAGCCATAAAACCAACCTCTGAGAACAAATAAATCATTCCTTTTTAGTTTCTACAATAGGGAACTTGCCTATAATTTTAAAAATAAAAATAATACTAAAAAACATAGCGTAACGTTGTAATAAAACGTGTACTTCACAAAAAAAATAAGTTTTCTAATTCCACGCGATCAGTATGAAGGATCTAAACAGCGATAAAATTGAAGTGGCCCGAAACGAGCTACTATTGACTGTGACGTCACACCATACCATATTCGGTAGTCGTCGCGCCGGGAAGCAATACAATCAGATGTTTACCAGTGTTATAAGACTGTGGTTTTTGTTAGTGACTGTTCTGATATAAATATATAATTGTGTTTTATAGTACCGCTTATTGTAGTTGTACAGATATTTTAAAATGACTGATCAAGGTTTTTCAAAGGGCCAATCTGATAATTTGCCTAAAGTGGATATGTTTATGGTGGCATCTTTTATACAAAATAGTGAAAGTTTTTCCCTTGGAGAGGTCCGCGGGGTCAAGGCAGAGAAATATGTATTTTTTTAGCTTTTAGTAATAATTTATAAACATAAAATAGTTATGACTTGATCACGCAATAAAAAAGAAATAACTACAAAATGCTTAGTCGCAACTAAGCATTTTTAGCAGACTTAGTCTTATGTTTGAAAGAATTTAGGGTAATTCTTTACAACAGCCACTTCTATATTTTTCGTGTTTTTTTTTATACACACGCGTAAAGTGTCTCTATAGAAGACATTTGCTGCAAAGGAAATGTTGCGCTAATGTATAATTACCTATCGTAGGTATTTTCGTACTATGTTTTGGGGCAAGGGAAATAAGTGATTGTGTCGTGTTATCATTCACATAATAGATAAATGTAAGATTTGAATAGAATAAATTAAAGGACAAGGGAAAGGTATTTGCAATATACTATATATACTAGAGGTAAACATTTTATTCTTCGCAGACAGTAGTGTTATTGAACTTTTATATAATTGTTGCACATTCTGTAGGATACTCTTCGCAGTTTTTTGAAAAGAATCTTGTGTTTGTCTTATAAACTTCATTCTTACAATACCTAATGTATTGACTACATATTTAATTTTCTCTCCCGATGGTGCCGACTGTATTGGCGAAACGCGTGGCAGTATATTTTATACTATAAACTAAGATTCATTCTTACAATACCTAATATATTGATCACATATTTAATTTTCAATTCTTTTTCCATCTCCCGATGATGCTGACTGCGTAGGCGAAATTTGTGGTAGTATATTTTGGTGTCTTTAGAAAATTACTTCAATTTTAGTAGCACATTGAAAATTGCAACCCTCTGTAGATTCATATTTTTAAATAAAATGTCCTATAACTTTTTTATTTACTGTTTGATTTTTTTCAAAAACAATGGATTTCTTCCTCTAGCTAACACTAACTTACAGCCCAAATTTAAATTCTAACGGACTTTTTTTCTTTTAGTTATCGTGCTTACGGACAGACAGACGGACGGACAGATGAACAGACGGACATTTTGAAAGTTGTTCAGAATTCGATGACGAACGAAATGATTTTTTTCTCTGCGAGCGATATTAACGATTTTAGAAATGTCCCGATCAAATGCAATATAATCTTCGTAATCGCATTTGCGAAGAGTATAATAATAAATAGCTGTCTACTTTCGCACCAGGAAATTACCTTTACTTAGTATTACTAAATTACATTCTATCTACTAATCTTATTTTCTAACATGGTATACACATTCTTTCTTTAATCCTACCCTAATTAAAATTCAATAATTCGGAATTCGGAATATTTTAATGCCCGCCTGCGAAAAAATAGTAGATAGACATATAGTATTTAATAATGTACTTACATTAAAATGATCTTCACACACATGTAGAGACCTACTGCTCTGTGAAATGTCTTTTTCATTTCTTCTACACGCTTTTAGCCATTTTGATCGACGAATCTTATCTTCTGGCAACATTATAAATATTTTACCTGGCACTTTTACTGTAGTATTCTTACACAACGGTACAATGTAATATTTAAAATAAGGAGTTTTTGTTTCCATTTTAAGTACCTATATACTTAAAATTTATGGCGATGCTGGTATTTTTACGGCTGAAATCAAGCAGTTGAGTGCTGGGATCTCCGTCGTGGTATGGTGTGATGTCACGACTACTCCCGCGCTATTGAACCTGTTTGAAACGGTTCGCTCGCGCGCGAAACTTTAATAATTTATAACAAATTTATTATTGGGAATTAAGGCGTCATATTTTGCATATCTTATTTTTTAGTATTGTAGAACGTTTTTATGGAGTAAAAAAAAATGTGCAAGTTCCCTATTATTTATAACAAATTTATATAACTTCATACTTTTTACTTTTTATGCAATTTGACAGACGTCAAATATTTCTCAGGTTGACCAACACTATTTCCACTGTTTAGGTAAAAGGTAAATCAATAAATAATCAATTAATGAACAATTATTTTTATACAAACACTTTATTTAATCTTATAGGTAATAATAGATCACATTTTTATATTTTGTAAAGTAAATATTTAGAGAAGTAATTTTACGTGTGGAGCCATCTTTTGAGAGTAGCTGAAACATTAGCTTGATTTATATAGATTTTTAGGCTATTGGGTTTTTATCAATGCTAGGGCGGTTTTTCAATATAGGATTTTAAATTTCAAGGGTGTTCTGGTAGAATTTTGACACTCTCTTTTCTAACGTGCTAAAGGCAATATCTATTCAAAGTTTTTGATATTTTTAATCATCCGTTTCGGGAGCAATCTTTGTGTAGATTTTACTTGTGGTTTGACTATAGAAGGAATCAAGGTATTTGGGTTTGATTCATATTTTATCAAATCACACTCGCTAAGAGGATTATTTTGCCCTTTGCACCATCAACGTGTGAACACATTTTCAGAAATTTTATTTGTTAAATACGTTTTGTATTTTGAGGAAAACCCTTTGGAAAAGGTACGTAACTGTTTATTAGATATAGGTATTATTATAATTTGGATTTTCTATATATTTATTATAGGGTTTTTTTTTTTGGGAGTCATTTTTCAACCGGCTATTTGATAACGATAGCTGTTTTGTTTATCTGCTGCTTTGGGAACTGTCATGGTGTGGAATTGAACCGTTTCTCGATTGTTGCTGTCGACGAGCGATCTAGACCATATCGACAGCTCTCCTTTGGTGATCCAGGGATAAGGAACCAGGAGATACGCAAGTTTTTTTATTAATCTAGTTTTATTTCCATTATTATTTTACCTAAAACTATTGGGACATACAACTGTTAGAAAATAACAATAAAAAGAATAGGGGTAGTTATAAGTTACTTTTTGTGTTACCATACTTTGGCACTGGTACTGGTATATAATTTGGTCATAATATATACATATTTTTTTTTTATTATTTATATACAGGGGGAACTTAAGCTTAAGCGACGCCATATAAATTTGATTTTCTGCTTTATGGTATATTTACCACTAGTACTGCGTGCCTTGTTTTCTTATTTATTTACTATTATTTTTTTTTTATATATATATATTGTCAATCTACTACTCAGTGGAATAAATTTATGATAATTAGCTTGCCGTTTCCTTTGGTAATTTGTTTGGTAAGTTTGATAGTTACCTTACTTATTTTTTTTGGGTATTGACGATAATCTAAAATTTACCTGGCGCCCAAATATATCTGCAACGAGTGCAGATATATATAATTGAATGTTATAAATTAATAAGGAACTCCGCCCGTCTCCTCTGTTGCCTGGCCGGAGCATACCCAACTGTCATCAGGACAGCTGGTTTCATGTAAATAGGGAGTTGAACGTTGCAAATTTAAAATAAAAAAAAACTAATAACGTTTTCCTAAAATTATTATTATATTTGAGAAATAGTCTATAGGAGTAGACATATAATGTCATTGGAATATAAATGGGGCGTAAATAAAAAAATTTACGTAGTTTTGAATAATGAAACAGAAATCCATCAAATCTGTTTATACTTCATCAGCATCACCCACCAGTGGACATCAATCCGCGTATAGACTAAGTTCGACAGCCGTTCTAGAACAGTGCGCAAATCTTCACAAACTTGACGAATCCGGTATAGATGAGTATTCGCGAGCAGTTATAGTTTTGTTCTCAAACTTGTACCAAGTTAGCTCGTGAGGCGTACATCAAAGAGTTGGTTCTCGACCACGTGCCGATAATTTGAGAGAGTCGTCGGCAATGCGTATCAAAACACGCGAATATTTTGTGAAAACGTTATGCTCACGAACAGCTCTCGAATAGTTTCCGAATGATTCGTGAATGTATAATTTTGGTCTATATGCGGCATAAGAGATATTGCTATCTGTAGAATACACAATATACAGAAATCATCAACAATTCACCAAGACTGAAGTCGTTTTCCACAAAATATATGCCGCACTCGGCGCACGTTTCGCCAACCAAGTTGGCATCATCATGAGACGATTAGAATTGTTTTAATCTTTTTCAGATTATGTAAACTTGGTTGGCGATATACGCGTCGAGTAAAATTTATGGTGTTTGATGTTTTTTAGAAAGGCACGTCAGTTCAGGAACAATTCACTCATCACATAATATATTATTGCTAACTCTTGTCGGCTCAGCGGCTCAGTGAATACATGTTGGGCTTGGGACCAAGTGGTTCCGGGTTCGAATCCCAGCTAGGACATGGATGTATAGTGATGTTTTTAAAATACCGACACGATAGCACAGTTGGCTAGAGCGTTGTTGGATGGCAGAACACGGCTAGTCACTGTCTATCTCTCCTGAGTTCGAATCTCAACTGCGGCATCTGGCAAATATCGGAGGGAATGGTTGTTGTCTGTGTATATGTCCTGGTTGTGTGGTGGAATAGTAATGTGCTAAACTCCGCCAGGATATTAATATAAATAAGGCTGTCAAAAAAAAAAACTTTTTTTAAATAATAAATGAATAATATAATTGACAGAAAGGTTTATTATATATCTTTAAATCTAAAGATACATTAGGTACTTACCTAAATGGAAAAAAATATATACAAGCATAGGGCACTTCCTTTAATGAAGTTGAAATGAAACATCTCGATTTTTTAAATGGAACATCCTATATATTATTGCATTTTTGAATTATGCATAATTTTCTGATTCCAACGATACCAAATACGTTAATATTTTTTATAATATAATTTTTAGTTTTCCATTTAAGTGTGCCATGACGGTTCCGATTTATTCTAAATGATCCGTTAATGCTAGAAAAATCGAAATCCCGTCAAAAAATACTAAATTACGTGATTTATGAGCAAATAAAGTTCATCAAACTGGTTTTTGGGACAAAACTTAATTTTTTCAAATGGAACATATTGATACCGTGGCACCATTTATTAGTACTATTAATAAGGAATTTATTCATACATCGTATTAAAATGTGCAATGAATACAAACAAAATTACAATTAAAAGAAAATAAGAATATACAATTTTGTTCTAATTACCTTGTTATACATAAGGTAGCTTTGGAATACAAAAAAATGAACACAAAACATTACAACATTTGTTCAAAATGCTGTCCATTTACGTCAATGCACTTCTGAACTCGCATAACTGTTTCTCGAAGAACGTTCGACAATTGCTGGGCCGTTATGCTATTAATTTCCCGTCTTACTCATAGCTCCAGGTCTTCACGGGTTGTAATGGCGGTTGCGTTGACAATATTTTTTAAATGACTCCAAACAAAGAAATAAAAGGGTGTTAAATCAAGTGATCTTGGAGGCCACCTCACAGGACCAGTCGTCGAAATTACGTTTTCTCCGAATCTTCGTTGAAGGTAATCAATTACTATCCTTGAATTATGTGGAGGTGCACCATGTTGTTGGAAATACATTCCCTGTCGTAAATGGAAAGGTAATTCAGCTAAACTGTCCTCAATTTCATTTTGCAGAAATCCCAAGTATCTGGCACCAGTCAGGGGTCCTTCAAATATTATTGGACCAATGATTCTACTACCGATTATTTCAAGCCAAACATTGAAACCAAACCGCACTTGAAAGTTACCCTCCCGTATAAATTTTGATTTTCTTGTGACCAATATTTTGTATTTTGTCGGTTAAATAATCCCAAATTTTTAAACCTAGACTCGTCCGAAAATAATATCGTTCCCAAAATATCATTGTTTGGCTGCACGTTATTCTGCAAAATCCAATTGCAATATTCCATTCTACGTTCGTAATCATTTTCGTACAAGTGCTCATGCAATTGGTATATAAAAGATTTATGGTGGTATTTGTGCAAAATTCGGCTTACTGTTTGTTGGCTGATTTCCAATTCAAACCCAATTTACCTTAAAGAAACAGTCTTATCAACTTCTACTTGTGCCAAAACAATAATTTCCGTTCCTTCATCAAGAATGAAATTTTCTTCGGGATCATTGTTATGCTCACTTCGGAATTGATTTTTTAGATGATTAAAGAATAATTTCTCGCTGAACATTGTCTGTCAGAATATCGTTCGGCATAAAAGTGTCTAGCCGCAACGGCATATTTTCTACATTTCCCATAAATAATTAACGTCCACTTTTTCATCTCTTGTATAAATTTGCGGCATTTTGAATACAATTAACAAGAATTTTAAACAATTTTCAAAGACACAATAAAAACTCCTGTAAACCAACAAATATTTGACAAGCAAAATAATTCATCGTTTTCAAAGCCACCTTAGTTAGTTACTTCTTAACATTTAACTAGAACAAAATTGTATTTTCTTATTTTCTTTTTCTTTTTAGCTCTAATTTTGTTTGTGTTTATCGCACATTTTAATATGACATATGAATAAATTCCTTATTAATAGTACTAATAAATGGTACCACTGTACCTACCAATGTGGTTCCATTTGAAAAAATTTAATTTTGACCCAAAAACCATTTTGAATAATTCTATTTACTCATAAATCACGTAATATAGTATTTTTTGACGGGATTTCGATTTTTCTAGCATTACACGGCGAAACCGGAAGTGAAAAAAAATCGTTTGTATGTCAAAAAGTGCCGCTTGTTATGTATATAGGACGTCCCAGATTTTAATCAACTATCTTTAAAACTAAAGGAGAAAAGGGGGTGTACCATGATCCTGTTACACCCGGTATATTACAGGTATATAAATAAACACACCACATGAATTTTTATGTGGTGTGTTTATTAATATTTATATTTGTTTTACAAATGCCGGCTCTGAAAAATGAAAACATTTCCAACCCCTGGTAATCAGTTACCCTAAATAACCCCGGATATCGAATTTGATCAAAATCAGAGCACATCACTGTAGTTAATTACTCAGCAGACATAATAAACGTAACGAAATTGCTACTAGTTCATTACTATATTCATTAAGAACACTCTATGTTTTAATATATCGTAAGGTTTCACTCAATAAGTTTTTAACTTATCTGCTTATTCTAGACCATAATAGTAAACTTTCTTCATCGAATTTCCTCTCGTTAAAACCCGTAATGGATCCATCTCTAATTATCAACGTAGTTATATACGTTATAACTAACAAAGCTATACAATGCTTATTGTTCTAGAATTACAGCGGCACGATAAGGCAAAAGAAAAAGGAACATGTAATGTTATATTTTACGTAAGGAATCGTTAATGAAAAATCACAGGTTGTATAAAAATGTAAATTAACAGTCATTTTAGATATAAAGGACTGTTCTTGTTTGCACACAAGTGTAGATTTTAATCCATGTTTATTTGAACCATGTTTATTTGAACCGGTGAATTTTAGTGAGCGCACGTACTTTTTCCACTGTCTTTTGAAAGGGATGTAGATTTATTTGTTAGCATTAAGGGTATTTCTCATTTTCGTTTTGGAGCTGTCAGTAAATATTCTCATTTTTCAATTTTATCTACAAGAAAATAACCAAAATGGAAAAAATTTAATTTGAAGCTGTAAATCGGTTCTTTAGAAATCTCAGTGGCCCTCATCTGCATCAATAACAGCTTGACATCATCTAGACAAGATATCAATGACATTATTAATGTAATCTTAAGATGGCCCAAATTTCTCGAATGACCGCTCTAAAATCTCTCACTGTTTGTGGATGAGGTTGATGGTCATATATTTTGAACATATCCTACATATGTTCAATATATGGAGGTCTGATGATCTCGGTGGGAGCGGAAGCGCCGGCATTCCAAGATATTGCAATGCATTTGTAACGATTCTTGAACGATGTGGACGGGCATTATCATCCAAGAAAAAATTTCGCACCCATGGCAACATGAAGTTGAAGAAAAATGTTGGTTATGATATTGTCAACACACACTTGAGCTGTCATCGAACTCTCAATAACAACCAAGTCAGATCCTGCTTGAAGCATATACCTCCCCACATTATGATTGAACCACCGCCATAAGGATAGATTTGATAAACTTAAGGACAATATCTGGCTACCCGTGGTATAGTCCATGCCCTAACTCTCGATCATTTGTAACTCTACTTACTCGAGTTTCATTGATGAATAAGACTCGCTCATCATTCTTATTCATCGCCTATTAAACTCCTCTTCAATAAAGAGAGATTTGACAAAGAATAGGAGTTGATTAGGGATATAGCTTTAAGTATATTCTGTAAGTTTAGTTGATAAAATAATTAGAAAACATAATTTAAAGAGACACTTCGAAATTCCTCGATCTTTCAAAATGAAAGAGAAAATTCAAAATTTATGTCATTCCCATACGATCCTGTATTCACCCATGCTATTGGTAAGATTTTTAAAGATATAATAGGTATGACAGTGGTTCATTCATCGAGAAATCAACTACAACATATTTTAGTCAATCGAAAAGACAAAATTGTAACAAGCGAAATGCTAGGGATTTACGAAATTAGCTGCAAGGGCTATAATCAAATGTATGTTGGACAAACTAGAAAATCAATTCAAACTAGTTTCAAGGAGCATGTTCTCAAAAATTTGATAGGATGGATTTAGTGTTGCCCAATATGCGTTTAAGAACCATGGTTTTAAAACGTAACATTTGAATAAAACATTCTCTGAGAAATAAAGCATGGTACAACACAATGTGCTGCAATCGTTGACGTGAACATTAAAAAGTAATTTATAACAATATTGCTCTTGGAGAACTGGGATATCAAAAACACATAAGCAAATTCGTGTAACGCTTGATTTAAACAGGGTGAGTATTTTTGCTTCAAAAACATTGGAAATTTTTAGAACGTCGTAACAATTTCTTTCTCGCACTTTCTTTGGGTATTAAGCGACTTTTCTATAATTGTTTTCAATAAACCTTTGTGCCATAAGGATTAGTCAGAGGTTGCTTCTTGCATTGAAAAATGTTTTTGTCCATCCAAGCAATGTCTCACACCTAAAAAAATATGAATCTGAAAATAATGTTACTAAATGGAAAAAATTTAAGTTATTTCATTGGTTCTTCAACCGAGCAATTATAAATTACTTATAAATTATATATATTTTTTTGGAATGGTAACTGATTTAGAATGGCAATCACTTATAGATATTAACTACATACAGGGTGGGACCGACTCCGATATGTCGAGTTCTATGATAGCTAGAATAGCTCATACATTAAAAAGTGAAAACAAAAATAGGTAAAACATCATTCACACGTGTTTGTTACACAGGTATAAGAATATTATTTGACAACTGATTTCATC